TTATTCGTCGCCTTTCTGTAAACTGAGCGAATATTACTGGCCGTTCAAAAGGATATTCTCGGAATTTATGAAACCACTGTGAGGTGTCTTAGTTGCTAAGTTGGAGACTCGAACGGAATGTTACCGACTTTGTGTGGCTAATTGAAATGTAAAGTAATTGTCGGTGGCTCCAAACAGCGACGATCTCCGTGGTGTTAAAGTCACTTCCTTGTTTAGACCCTTAGTCTGTGTTTGATGCTCCTAGACGCTTCCTCTGTCCTGCCACATTACTGGCTATTCCCTCGGTCACCAAAGTAGTATTACGATATGTAAACATGAACAATGAACCTCCCCTCCCAATCCACATTCGGTGCTGAGATGTGGTTTGACCACGGAGGAGTGCGCAGACGACCACATATACCAACGCCAAGGTCGGTGCGCTAGGTATCCGTGTCTGCCCTACGCCAAAACCCAACAGGTTTGATGACATTTCAGCATCAAGCAAGTCTGCCATAAAGGAATTAGCACGCCAGACGGCAATCCTAATCGATGAAGGGGAAGCCGTTAATTGTCGCAGGTCGATCATAGTGATTACATCCTTTAAATACTGCAACTCCCCGGGTCCTAATTACCCCTTACCGATGTTGTCTCTGAAGGTGAGTTCTAGACTAAATCCGCAACGTCAGGCGAATAAAATTATCGTGCCGATCGATCGTGCTGTTGTCTTTTCAAATATCAACCAGCATCCTTTAGCCCACGATTCCCTTAATGAGATACGTTGTGAATGCTCGTGACTAATAAGCCGTAAGGTCCAGCTTCACTTACGACAAATGCTGTCGTAGATGAGTTACCGCAATAATCATGTCCATTTATAGCCTTTTTTCAGTTAATTTGTTCTGTGTAATAAACACTATCCACCCCCTTTGATCCTCTTCATACCTTAATGCTCTTCTGTATTTCGCAAGCGTCCAACTCAAAAACCGTGGATATTATGGACACAAATTAACCAGTACAAATACACATTAGTGGCAAAATGTTTATTATTGTTCAGTTTACTTAATTGTGTAAAATCTCGCGGCCTCAGCGTGAGTCGAAACCACGCAGTAAGGAGGTCTTTTGCGCAGCTAACGCTCTACTATTGAGCTACAAGACTCATTCCGCGCCATGAATTTAATCACACTTGGATCGATGTTATCCGCCCAGCTTACTGCTCGTGTGGAATCAACCATTACAGAACAGCAACCTGACTACCCAGGCAGGAATTATTTATCAATCATCTAGAATTAACCAGACTGATTACTAGGCTCAGTTAATTGTTAGGGGGTTTGGCATCTTTTTTTTAATTAAATTGACCCAACTGTGAACCATTCGCGACTGTGGTGGGAGTCGAACCCACGCAGGAGGAAGCCTTTTGCGCAGCCAACGCTCGACCATTGAGCTAAGAGGCTCCCGTGAGCCGTGAATTTAATCAAATTTATTATGATCATTGTTCTATAATCTTTCAATGGATAATCTATTAGTGGCTTCTAAAGAACGGTACAAAAACCACAGTATTTTAGCACAATGTTAAACAGCATGCAGTAATATCGATGCTTGTAATAATCCTTTAGTTTTCACTGACCTTAATGGACATATCGTTATAAGCGGTATAAGCGCTTTCGGTGTTGTCTAACCATGCTCCGAACTGGAATAAAATCATCATTTCCAGCGTTAAATTCATAATTTTATTAATTCGTACCCGAATCAATTTTTCGCAGATTATCACTCTAAGACGGTTTGACATAGTCTTTCCCGGCAAAATTTTATTGTTAACGCTTTTTTTAATGAATTAAACCCTCAAAACACTTTCGGATTGAGGCAAGCTAAGTCGATGAGCAAAGTTTGTAAAAAGGTGGTTTGTCTGGACTTTAATAGAAAAAGCTTTATTCAATTAAACGTGTCAACCTCACTGTCTTAGGAGCTTAATTACTGTCATCATATTCTATAAAGAACCTCCAAAAACGCCAGTTATGGACGCAGTAAAATGCAAGAAGGTGAAACAGTGAACATTTATTTATTAGAAAAATAAGGATAGGCAATTGAGCCGACTTCTAGCAGAAGTAATTGACGTTTCTTTCATCAAGCCACATTTAGTATCCCAATGATTTGAAAAACTCCTGCAGTTCAGTCCTGTTGATTTGTCCATCGCCATCGTTGTCAATGGATTTGATATGCTCCTTGACTGCATCCATATCAATGCCGGACCCTTTGATCGCATCCAGGAGTTCTTCAGCGCTGACTTTGCCGGAGTGGTCGGCATCCAAGCTCTCCATCAATTCATCGATTACGATGCTACAAACATAAAGGTACAGAACTTCAACTCACTCAGACGACATTGTGTGTTATTGTGGAGGAGACTGCTGAGAAGTACGATGTGGAAGGCTGAAATGGCGCACTATTTATAGTCGCAAGGCTGCCTTTACGTGATTGGAACCTGCTAAAATCGCACTGAGCAATCGGCGACCGAATCTGATAGGCTGATTTTCCACAGTGTTCTGTTATTGGCCTAGTGTAGACCTGACACTCGAAAGTTGGCTAGGTTAGCTCTTAGAGAGCAGTAGACAGCTACGCAGGCGGGCAAATCAAACGGACTTGACACAGACTTGAAAGGCGAGCGAAACAAACAAATAAGTGTTTGAGGTCAGATATAATATACAGCATGGAACTTGTCTGCTCTGAAATGTCTAAATTTACGAAAGACTGATAAATAATCACAAGCACGCAACAAAGAACGCGCGAAAACGTTGAGATTACTAATAAAAAGATAGCAAATTTATAAATTAAGGAAATATAGGAAATTCCACAATTTTTAAAAAGCCTGAAGTCCCAAAAACGTAAAATATCACTGTAAGTATGACCACCTACATACCGCCGAAGAAACCCGAACTGTGCAAGCAGCTACATCACGTGGTTATTCTCCAATTACCTCGGCAATTTGGCAGCTGGTTTTTATCTCGACTGGGTTTGTGCCAAATTCCTTTCCCCGCATTTCTATCTGAAGGTTGATGATATGTACTTCCCTTCAGTTGATCAGTATTTACACTGAACTCTGACCCTTGCTGTTATACACTTAAATCCTGTGAAATTCAATCTGCTGTATGTTTCTAAAAGTCATCTCAATCCCGCAACGACGGGATGGAATTGAAAAGCCCTTACGAAATTTGCTGTCCGCGGAACAAATGCTTAAAAGTGATTATACTGGTCAAGTGAAATCGTAAACAAAACAAACTGTGCTTATCAACTGAACTTCTCTTCGTAAACTTTCTTTATAGGTATTTCCCATATTGAATTACAATTGGTTTCGAGTGTTCCTTGAAAGCCCGGTGAAGGTTTAACCATTTGCAATTTTTTTAAGCTTTTTCGACGATAGTAATATCACTTTGAATTTGATTATGAAAACCTTTCTTGAAAGCATTTTACAAACTTTTGAAATTTTTGGGTGTCAGTTAATTTTAAGATGGCCGTATGGGTCATGGTTTTAGACTCAAGCTTTGCTGGGTGGGTAGAAGTTAGCGCTGTTTACTGCAAGCCCCGATTATTAAGCATATTTGAAGATATTACATCTGTTCGTATCTTTATTTCACCTCTTCTTGTGAATGTGTTTGAGACCGATTTTTAGCATTTCACTAAATACTACGTGCTTTATGGTCTAGCGAGTATCATACTCTTTGATGTTTCCATTTTAACCATGTGAACCTACGTCTCTTATACGATTACGCTCTAATGATCTTGTTTTCCGGATTACTGCAGTTAATCTTGATTCTTTTGAACAGCGTTCTCACACAGCTTCATTTTTGAGCCATCGGATGGTTGCTGTGAAAACTAAGAAGCTGTGGGGTATTTGTTG